GGAAGGAAGAGCGCTGCTCCCTGACTGCACTGCCAGCGCCTCTTTCCGCGGCGTCCGGACGTTCCTGCCCTGCTTACTTTGGGAATGGAAATGAAGTTCATGAACCACTTCTGAACTGGCTGGGCAGGACGGGAACAGCCTGGCCCATGTCCACACACCAACTGCCCCACTGTCCACAGCACAGCTTTTCCAAAGGGACACCCCTGGGAGTCCCAAACATCTCCCACTCAGACAAAATGCATTTCTTCATAGCACTCGCTGAGAAAAGGCAGCCTCAAAGGGCTGCCCCCGGGTGTTATCCTACACAGAGACATGCACAGCTCGCCCAGGGACAAGTGTAACACGGATTTGTTTGCCAAAGGAAAGGCTTCAACGGGCTGGGAAAATCCTTGGGGGGTTCCTGAGCAAGACACACTGTGTTACAGCAGGATCAGGCTGGGTGCAGAATGCTTATTTCAAATTAACTCCAACAGAGAAATAATGAGCAGCAAGTTTATATTTCAGTAAATTAAGAGAGAAGCTTAGGTAAAACGTGAGTTTATATGCACAGAAATAAATTACTATTTACTCACTTTTGCGCTCATGCCCTCAAATATGAAGACATTTGCAGGGATTTATTAATATTTATAGGACATTATAATAAATACCCACAAGAGCCTTGCCTGAAGACATTCTATTTTACCAATGTAAAATCTGTTGAAGGTCAAAGGGATCTTTTACTTGTGTGTGGATGGCAAGATCAGCCTCTTTACTTGGAAATCTGTATCAACTGCGATAATTTAAAACTTTAATTAAAGACTCAGTGACAGATTATCTACGAAATGTCTTCCTGATGCCCAGTATTCCATCACGAATGTCTCCAGAAGCCCAGGCTGTGTAAGCACACTTGCCAGGAAATATTTCACTGTGGACATGTTAGCTTTTATCTGGCTCATTGGGTAACAAATTCTTTTGTTGAGGATTGGTGACAATAAAAATTAAATTAGAGGCAAAACCAGACCCCAACCCAAAAATTTATAGTATTTGTTTTGTTCATCTCTCAAGAAAATGAAACACAGTGAATTTCTCCTTTTGTGCACTGCAGTGGATGGGTTTATGAGGAGGGACAAGCAGAGGTCTGGGAATGAATGAATGAGGAGCACAGGGTGAGGAGAGAAGGGCCCAGGAACACCACACAGGCACCTCTCTAAGCCCTGGCCATGGGAGCATGCAGACCTCGCTGGGAATTTCTGCTTGGAAAGGCTGTGGCATAGGAGGAGTGGGTGGATGTTCTCACAGAACTGCAGGACCTGGGGCAGGAGGGACAGCGATGGTGGCATGGACTGGACTCTAACAGTGACAGGCCACTTTGAGATCCTGCAGAGGAGAGAGTTAACAGCAGTGACACACTTTTGTCTGGAGAAGTCACAGGGACTGGAAATAAAAACTCGGGGCCATAATTCTGCAGTCTGTCACTACCAGGAAACGTGAAATCCAGTGACCTTTCATCTCTGTGACAGAAATGCTGCACAGCACCTGGAGCCATCGCCCTTAAAATCCACTCTGACAAACTGGATGATAGGACATGAAGGAGAAAATGTCCTCTGCCTGCCTTACCCCCAAATGAGAGCCTCCCAGTGAAGTCCACATGCTCCGTGTGGAAAGTGGCATCCCCTGCCAGGAACAGCCTGCCTTGAATGAGCTGCTGTGATTAGTGAGGTACGAGGTAACAGTCTTATTTCTTTGGCCAAGAAGGAACAAATCTCCAAAGCCATTTGTTCAGACTGCTCTTAAATGATGGGAGAGAAATCACTATTGGCTTTCTATGAATCTTCAGGCCAGAAATGCTAGAATCAACAGATTTTTGCATTATCACAGAATCACAGAATTCCAGACTGGTTTGGGTTGGAAGGGATCTTAAAGACCATCCCCTTCCACTCCCTGCCATGGGCAGGGACACTTCCCACTATCCCAAGGTGCTCCAAGCCCTGTCCAACGTGGCCTTGGGCACTTCCTGGGATGGGGCAGCCACAGCTTCTCTGGGAAACCTGTGCCAGTGCTCACTGAATCACAGAACTTCTGCCCTTGGTGGGATGTAATTAATAAGGTTATGAAAATCTACCTGACTGTATGGAAAGAGAATTATTCTCTCATTAATAGCAGCAACAGCTAAAAAAGCAGACCAGCCATGCCCCTAGCAGAGTGCAGGAAATGATGCAGAGCTGTGTTTTACCTTAAATAAGGATTTTCCTTACCAAAATTTTAAGGGATGGCTTTTGAATTGAGGATTTGCACCACAGAAATTACTTCCCCCCACCCAGCAACTGTATACCTTGAGCTCTTCTGTTTGTCAGTCTGAAATTATGACCAGAACATGGCATTGTGTCTTCAGCCCTTTGGCAGAAAACAAAAGCTACTGAATGAAAGGAAAAAACCAAATAAATTTAAAAAGGGGTGTTTCAGTCATTTAAGTGGGTCTGTCAGCTTGTGTTATCTTCATGCATTTGTGAAACTGAGCTTTAATTGATTGGCTGAAGTGGAGAGCTGAAAGACACAATTTTGGTCTCAAGATGAACACAGAGCTGAGAACACTGTGCTCCTCATTCATTAGGATGTGTCAGAGGGATTCAGATGGGAAGAGACACAGGAATGGCTGCTACTTCCACTTGAATCTCCCAAACTGTAAGAGAAAGGTGAACAGTGTGTGCCACATTCAGCCACGTCCAGGAGCAGTAACAAACTCTGATCATCAGACTCCCCGTGACACAGGGACTGCCTTGGTGCCTGCTAATTTCTGTCACTGTGGGAATCACTTCATTACATTTGTGAAGGACACAGCCAAAACTGCCAGCTTGGGCCAACTGTAAGCCAGTCAGCCCCAGCAGCAGCAGGAGGAGCAGAAAGCCCTTCCAGCTGAGGGGTCTCCATCCCTATAGCCAGGCTGGGACACCAGGAGGGGTTCAGCTCCCCCCATGGCACCCCCATGCAGAGATGCTCCTCCATCCCAGGGAACAGCCTCGACCCTCTGCTGGCTGAGCTGTGCTGCAAGCCCCAGAGAACAGGATTCCCCAAGGCATCCAGGCTGCTCTGAAGGGGATGGTGAGAAGTACATCCAGGCCTAAAATAGGTTTCAGCTGCAGAACTTTATGTTTATCCCCAACAGATGAGCGAAGAGAGGAGTGGAGATTTGGTAAAACCATGGATGAAGCCTCCCGGCTTCTCCGTGAGGGTTCCAATCACTTCACTGTGTCCCACAGTCCATTCAGCACACAGCTGGTCTTCATTCTGTCCTCCTGTCCTTGTCCCCACCAACAGAAGCTGCTCTTTCCCTTTCCTTTTCCCTTTCCCTTTCCCTTTCCCTTTCCCTTTCCCTTTCCCCCTGGTGTTTCGGGCACTCTGTTCTGGGAAGGAAGATGCTCCTCACCCCTGGTCACCAGGGGTGTTGGGGACTACAACACAGAAACCACCAACCCCCGAAGGGGGAGCGTGGCTCCTGGGGGAAATGGTCATGGTGGTGAAGGGTTGGGAGGGAAATCCAGCATCTCCTGGGCCTGTGTGAAGGCCCCTCTGAGCTTGCACTGCTGGGAAGCCTCAGGGATGCTCACAGGTTGGATTCATGTGACGCAAACCGGATGGGATGTGCTGCCACTGTAAATGAGGGGATTTGGGATGGTGCCCTACACACAATGGGAACACAGAGCCCACACATGCTCCAGAGGTGTTTGCTGGGGTGTGAATGGGTCTGAGCTCAGTGACAAGCCTGGTGACAGCCTGTGGTACCCCTGAGTCACCAACCCATGGCACCAGTCTTGTTGAGTGTGATGAGAAACCTCACACCCAAACACAAATGTACACAAAGATGGTGCACAGAGCTGGGTAACAAACCTCTCCTCTGAACTCCAGCAATAAAAACAAACCAACGAGATTTCCTGTGAACATTTTCTGCTTTCCAACAGAAACACAAAACTCAGTGAAAATCTGACAAAATATTTTTAAACAGAAATACAGATACAAACCATAGGATTTCAAGTAATATTTATGGCATAATTTTCCAAACATTTTTTAATTTTTCATTAATTTTTCAAGTTCCTTCAGTTAAAGTATTTTATGTTTCCAACTCTCTGCCTTTACTCTGTCTTACAGTGCAGAAAATGTGTTGAAAATGTTATTTTCTTTACCAACATTTTCATTTAGGTACAAAAGCAGCCATTACTCTTACCCAGCAGCGGTGATGTATGTAAGAGCAAATATATACGGATAGTGAATTCTAAACACAAGGAGCCGAATCCAAGTGGCCATTTCTTACATGTTTAGAAAGCTGTGAAAAGGTTTATGTGCAGCTGCCTTACCTTTTAATCTGTCTTCACATCTACATTAGGAGGAAGGTGCTTTTTCAGAGATGTATGTGAGTACAGGCTGTGGTACAAGACCGGGGAGACCTTTTTGGAAACAGATTTATTTTCCAAATAGGTACTTTCAGTCGTTCCAAAACATTTCTTGAAAGTGTTGATGAATCAGACTCTAATTCATGAAATCACCTCAGCAGGACAATGAGGGCCAGTGCTACACACAGACTCCAGTACACAACTAACAATGTTCTCGGCTTGGTGGGTGCCTTACTGGCCACAGGAAAAGTTCTGCCATTGATTTTGCTGACTTTTCCCTTGGCCTTAGATAATAACCATTGGTTTCTTAATGTAGGGACAAAGACCCTCTCTTTTCTCATGTATTTGATTCTCTGTTGGACTAATTTTGAGAAAAAAAACCAAAGAAATGAAACAACAATCACTGATATCAGGACTCAATCCTACAAAAGCTTTGTTAAGCCAGCCATTCCATCTGCTTCAAGGAGAAGACACAGGCCAGGAAGGGCAGTTTTAACTTTCACCCCATAAGTGAAGCACCAGGAGAAGGACCAGCCCAAACACCAGCCTGTGCCGATGGAAGCAAACCTCAGTAACAGCATTTCAATCAAATGTTTCCTTTATATCTCTGTTAAAGCCAACACAGTTCTTTCTTACCATTTTTGCAGACAGGACAACACTGCTCTGGTTCATAGACTGGGTTGACACACTCGGGGACTGCGCAGTCTGCTACAACACAGTGAACTTCATTGCTGGGCTCGCAGCGACACCATTCGCATGGCGAGGGCTAGGAACAAATCTCAAATTAGCCCATTGCCTCCCGCAGCTCACAAGTTTGCAACATTCCCATCTTGCCACAAGATAAACACATCAGCGTTCAATACCCCTTGACTGAGTCATTCATCATGGGTGATACAAGTTAACCTCTGGCACAAAAGAGCAACAGCTGAAACAGGCAACCACAGCATCAGAAAAACCAGCGAGCTTCAGCCTTGTTTTCCCACAAAGAGTGCGGGGTCTTTCAGGACTTTAGGTCCCTTTGCCAAAAACACTGAGCTGAAGCCTCGAGGGTGTACCTTGCTCTACCTGTATGTTTTACCTTACACACGTGGCCAGAAGAAGAGCAGGATCTGTGGAAGGTCATGAGTGGTGACCCTTCATTCCAGGAAGGGAGGACAGGCTGATTTTCCAGGCCATACCCATCTCTCATGTAGACCAGCACTGCCAGCCACCCCCAAGCTGCTGGAAAGGTGCTGCCTGTCCATCCTCCAGCCTCTCTCATCTCTCATGTAGACCAGCACTGCCAGCCACCCCCAAGCTGTTGGAAAGATGCTGCCTGTCCATCCCCCAGCCTCCTGGGGTGTTTTCACTCCTGCTTTTCAGGGCAGAGGTGAACAGTGTCACTCTTGGAGGGCCAAACCCATTTTATTCCATGTTTGTGCAGCACCTGCATCAGGGGTCTGTGAGCACTCCCGTAACACAACCATGAGATCTCAGCCTGGCCCCTCTCCTGCTTGCTTCAACAAGGTTTGTGTGCAACAGGCTCACATAAAATACGTAAATAATTAAGAGACTGAGTAATTCTGCTGAGTTAGGGAATTCAGGATTAAAGCACCCAGCTGAATGGTTTTGTTTCAGCACCATCAATTCAGCCAGGAAGCTCTATCCACCTCCAAACTGCACAGAGTTGTTACTGTCTCAACCTTTAAAAAGCTGTGAAAATCTGCTGAAAACATAGAAAGGTTCGTGTTTTAAGGTTCCCAGTGACTTATGTGTGTGCAAGTGTCACGAAAGCATGGCAACAGAGCTAAGGAAGGAGAATAAGAGGAGAATTGAAATGAAAATAACTTCCTTTCAGTACCAGTAGGTTCGATATGTAACTCCCAGTTTCTCAGCATCCATCACCAACATTTCAATGAGTAAATGTGGTATTGGGAAAACATTCTGCTTTATGTGAACCTGCAGCTGTGGGAATTCCTCAATATTAAAAAAAATATTCCTCAGTATTAAAAGATAAAGTGGGATGCAAATAAAGAAGGATTCATCTTGATGTATTTCAGACCCCAGTGATGGGTCACTCATTACTACAAGACAGATGCAACCTGTGAGCCCTGTTTCTGGTGTGTAAAAAGCTCTTCAGTTCACCTCTAAGAAACTCCATGTGTATTCAGTCGAATAATTTATTCCTAGGAAATTCATTTCTGCTTTAAAATGCACTAATTAAAGCTTCCCTTGCTTTGTCTCAGCATCTGCAGTCTATAATTCCCATCACCTCTCATTTGCTCACGGCTTTGGCAATTTAGATAAAATCAGCACTCCTTGAGCAAGGGAAGAAGTGTGTGGAGGTGGAATTCCTCTCTCTAATTATCGTTCCTCTTTCAATCCTGCTTTGATTTCTGTCTGAAGCACCAGGAATCTAAATTCATTTGACTGACATTTCTTATTCAAGGCTATTTAATAAGAAGAAACAATACAGAAGCAAACAGACAGAACTATTTGCTGAGGGATCAATAAGAAAATTGCTGCTTTGTTTTTACTCATTTTAATCACTAATTATATGGAGCAGTAGAACTAGATCTTGTGATTTGTGGAAGCTTTCACTGACATCTCCTCCAGTGATTGTACCCATCCTCACTACTCCAGTGGCTGCAATGCTAAGAAATATGTGATGCTTTTCCAGGGCTGCAGCCCAATCCACGGCTCAAAGAGGATCAGCCCAAGCGGAAGCTGCCCCTGAATGACTCTGCAGCTGAGCAAACGAGACATGACACACACATCTTCCGCCTCAACCTTGGTGGTGCACCCTGAAAATGACACTGTAATAAACCAGGATGTTGCCTGACGCTGGGAGCAGCTTCTCAAGTGGGAAGAGCTGCACACAATTAGAGAGGGAAAGCACACCCTGGCAGAACAGAGTGAGCAGCCACCAAATAAAAGGCTGCTTTGGCATGAACCAGACCCTTCCCTGTCACCTCCTCCTCGCTGCTGTATTAAGGTCAAGCCACTTGGTCTTGTCACCAAGATCTTCCTCCATCTGACCATTCTGGTCACTTTTCAGTGCCACTTATCCTGGAGGACTCCAGCCCTCCTGTCCACTTGGTGTATGAGAGCCTTGGTGCCATCCGCTGTGGGATGTGCTTTGGGATCCGATCTGCAAATCCCTGCCCATTGAGCATTCCGAAACTGTCGTCTGCAGGCTCTGAATCTGAGCTATTGCTTTCCCTGGTGCTCCCCTTCTTGTGGAACAATTCTGGGACACTGGCCAAAAAGTCCTCTATCTATTGGTACAGGCAGCAGAAAGACCAAGCAGCAAAATGACAAACTGGGAGCCAGTGAAGAACAAGGAACCAGCAGAGGACGTCCTGAAGTTTTGTTTCCTTTCCTGATTTAAAGATTTTTCCCCCATGAAAGAGGGGTGGTTTACACTTTTGTAGCCATTGAAGTTCAAACAACAGTTCCAGAAAAGGAACTCTCATCCCTGCTGAAGGACACTGAAAAAACACAGGGGGTTTTCTGGAGTAGGAAGTAGAGAGGACACTATCCCACAGGGACAGTGCAAATGCTTTATCTGTGTCCCTTAAACTGATGTTCTGGTAAGAGTGTTAAGATCAAAGGATCACAAAAGTTGGTGATTTATTCACTCCCGTGTCTAAGGCAGAACAATCTTTTAGAAAACTCTCTAGGGAAGGATTTATTAGGCAGGATATCAAGAGATGTTGGTGAAGAAGCATTCTTCTGACCACTGCCCAGAAGGAAAGGGTGCTCAGGATGTCCAGCCACAACATGGATACACATCTGCACCATTCCATGGTTCTCTACTGCTCAGTAGGATTTCAGATATGGCTCTATCAGGAGCAAATTGGGCCCTTCTGTAGAAGGCATCAGTCAGTAGAGCAGTTTGACTTGGCCAAACCAGTGCAAAGCACTGAAATTCTTTTTACCCCATCTCCACTTCTGAGGGGGGTGAGAGCCAGTGGGGTGATGTGTTTTTGGATGTTGTCAGTGTAGGGGCCAAGTCAAGCCAAGCTGGTGGGAAGCAGGCATGGCCAACATCTATCCACCATTCAAGGGCTTTTAACAGCAGCTGAAATGGGACACAGAGCACAAAGGACCTCCTCAGTCTCTGCACAGACCCTAATTCCCCTCTCCTTCAGCCAGTCACTTCAAATAGTTCCAAGCAGCACAACCCATTCATAACCACCCCTAAAATCACAACACAATTTCTGTTTCTCTCCTGTTCTACTGGTCTCAAGGAGGTCTGTGAGCCCAGGTTCAGCCCCTGCCTCTGTGTGGGATGGCCCCATCACACTCCTCAGGATGGCCGGAGAAAGGAGCCAGCGCTCCTTCTGTTGCGTGGCTGAAAAACCTGAGTCTCAGGTGCAGTCAAATGGGAAACATCTGCAATCAGCAGAGTTTGTTAACAATGCAAGAAGGAAGGAAAATTAGAACAGAGAATAGAAAATTCACACGGCTAATAAAGATTTTATGTGCGCGAGCACATAATGATAAACTTGATAGACGATATAAACAAACACATGAAAAAGGCAGCAAAGGAAACAGAATGAAAAACAAGCTACGCCCTGAGCAGGGGAAACTGGGAAACCAAACAGGATACAGGTGCCCCACCTCCTAATCTTCACTCTCACACACACACACACACCAGCTCCCCACTGCTTTCACCCTCTTTTTGGAAGCAAATGCCAGCACAGGTAGGAATTATGACTGCTAACATCACCCAGCTACTCCTCTCTTACAGGGTTGGGAACCACGTGGGTCCTTCTTTAGTCAGCTGTGAGGTTCCAAAAACCCAAAGAAATTTCATACCTCTGAGAGGTCTATTTTGTGAGCAGGCCCTCAAGTCCTCTATAAGGACTGATGGACAGCCAGAGACATCACACGATCAAACAATTCTATAGGCAACAGCCAACAAAACTGATTATTCCCAAACCTAAGGGGGAGGTAGAGAGAAGAAAATGGAAATCTGAATTCAGAACTCAGACTGTTTAAATCTACTCTTTCATGCTTTTCTACAGCTGAAGACATCTGAATCAAACATTTTTTTAGACCATGGCAGCTGGTACAATCACACCAATAACTGACACATAAAACCTCAAGATTTTAAGCAAGATCTTACAAGGAGCACCTCAGTCATTTCATTTAATCATAGGAATTCTCTTGTTGAAGAGAGGTTCTTGTTGAGGTTCACTTACTGAACCTCATCTCCGTGTTTCTCCCTTAGCTCATGTCTTGGCCAGAGCTACAGCACCTAAGCCACCCCTCTGCTGCCCCAAACACGGGAAAAGCTTTCCCACATCATCACCAAGTAGGGAATGTTCTCCCTGAGTGAATGGAGGAAGCATATCTGTATCTATGAAACATCATTTTGCAGCCCTCCTCTTGCCTGCCTACAGTCAGGATTTCTCTGTCTTGTCTGCTCATCAATCACTCTTAGATGCTTTTGACACCACCAGCTCTGGAGAGCTGGAGAGGGAGTGATTTACCTAGGACAAACAAAAAACCCTGAAGATGACATCTGACTGATATTTTTTTCTTCACCTGTTTGTTCTGTCAGTCAATAAGAAGCCATTTTCTTCACTTTTTGCTCTGCTGCCACGCTCACCAGGCTAACAAGTTCCCAAGTCCCCCAGCTCAGGAGACGTCTCAAGTTTTAAAGCTTGTTCACAGTTCCCTGCGATCAGTTTGGATTCTTCCAGCTGGCTTTGCTCAGATTCAGGGTTTGAGATTCATGCCCCACAAGGAGCTGGGAAAATGCTGCTCATTTTCCAA